AACGTAGAATGAAACTTTTATATATGTGATTGTTAAAATGCTGGACTCATATTATTAATTCATTTAAGTTAATGTACAAGTTAGATGTAACTAGATCGTGATTTCAGAATATCATTACTCGCCCGATAATACATACATGATTTGGTTTGAGAATAGAAAAAATTAAATAGTTTGCTTATATTGTTAAGAGAATTTTTGAAAATTTATTTATTTCTTTCATATTCATAAAATGAATAGTAACAAACCATTAATTGCGATAACACCACTAATTACAGAATTTTACGTAATCCGGTGTCTGTCGACACGACCTTTAACTTGTCAAAGAGATCAGCTGACATTTAAATACACATTTCTCTGCATACACCGTATAACCTCCGTAGTGATTGAAGGGAGAATTTTATTGCTTGACCTTTCCCTAACTCTGGCAGAAGATTGACTCGGTTAAGAATTCTTCCCATTCTTTTTTACTTTAGTTTTTTTTTGTTTTCTTACATTTTTTCCCAGCCATCCTCCTTTCGCCTTCCGCGTTGTCGACTAGCCGAGCGTGAAAGAGGCTTCACGCTGGCTAGGTTGGCAGAAGTGTGCACGAAATACTTGCTCCGAACAGTCGTAACGAGCCATCGCTTCTGTTGACTGGTTGCTGCTTCACCGACTTCTTAAAGCGTATCCAGCCTCTGGTACTGCTGCGAGTAGAAGACAGCGAGAGAGTTAGGACCCTACAAAACTATGACGATTCTCACGTACCAGATAAATTCGCCTGTAGATAGAATCAACCTTCCATCGCTATATCCGACAATTCTATCCATCCATCGTCGTGCTGCGTAATAAATCAGTAGCCGCGTAAGTCATAGGTCACAGACCACACACGTACGTTCTGAGGTATAATAATATCCGTTAAAAAAATTCTCAAAGGTGTTACCGAACTGCAACGTCATCCGGGAAGAATGCAGACTACTGTACCGATAATCGGTAAAACATCCCTCAGCGATCTGGAATATAGTTCATCCTAACAATAAGGGAGAGAAAGTGGAAGCGTGCGTATGTCAGAGTACATGGGGTGGTGAGAACTATGAGGAATTCGGTACCGGGCCTGTCCCGTGCACGCTCGACGCAAAGACCCCCTCATAGACATCCAGGGCACGGCACCTCGTGGAAAGAGTATCACCCCAGACGATGGACGTGCCCTTGTATATAGGACCGAAAGAGAGAGGGAGAGAGACAGGGGGTAGTTTGATGGTTGATCGTTGATGTTTTGCCCCATAGGAAGCACACTTCGCGTTCCCACGTGCAGCTACGGACGTGAAGCGATCGCGTGTGCACCTAGGAACTACGAGGCCGTCACTCCAAGGGGATGGGATTAGTCAGGGCTGGCTAGAAAATGGGGTTGGGATCCTGTATAGGCGATTGCTGAGCGGCCGCGTGACGGTAACTACCGGGGCTGTCCTGACAAGCAACCTCAGCCACGTGCGTGTCTCCTAACCCTGGTAACAACCTCACCCTCTGCCGGACTTTTTCCACCTTGCTATATGTATAACGTTTTCATCCTTATTCTCTCTTGGCCGCTACCCCACTGCCCTTTACCTATCCGACGGATTTGGTTAACCTAATTAAATGGAAGCCCGATTAAACTGCGTCAGATATCTACAACTAAAGTTTGTATTTGTACAAGAAGTAAAAGTTAGTCTGGTACAAACTTTATAAGAGTCGTATGCCATTAACCTATCTATGTTATAATAGTCTATGGTCGTAAGGATTCAGAAATCTTACTAGAGTCGATTCGTATAAGGCGTTACATGCGAAAGGTGGCATTGCAATCAAATGAGCCTCCTGGCGGTCAGTCTGGGTATTAGTCTACAACTTATATCTGATCAGAGAATGTAACCTGTAACGACAGTTAAAAGTCTGTGCGTGTACAAGAGCCGAGAGATAGTTAATGTTGTGTATTACGAGTGAAGTGTAAATGCCTACATAAATATATGTAGCATATGTGCAGAATCCAACATGTGGAGAGAGAGAGAGAGAGAGAGAGAGAGAGAGAGAGAGAGAGAGAGAGAAAGCGATGTTGATAGATGAAAACAAGAAGCCATGGACAAGCATTAATCTTCTACAAGGTGCTATGAGGAGATGTAAACTAAATTTACGAGTAAAACGTAAGGTGCAGAGGTCGCTATTACATTAAATGTCAAAGAAAGATCACCCCTCGAAAAAGCATTTTACTCGTGGGCACTACTATAGGTTATGTACGAACGTGGTACAAGGTCCTTCACTTTGAGACAGAAGTTTATTTTATATATACACATAGAGATAAAGAGAAGAAGAGAGAGAGAAAGAGAGAGAGAGAGACGTCTTTGGGGTGGTATGGGTCGGGGGCGTCTATGGCTAGGTGCTGAGGGGTTACAGGAAGGAGATACGGGGGAGGTTGGCTATGGGGCTTTAATGAACCAATTTAAATGCATGCGATGATCAGTTGGCCTCTGAGCCCTCTTCTTCTCTTGCGGCTCTTTCGCCGTAGTGCCCGGCTACCTTTACACAAGGCCCATCCAACGCCATGGACATCACCATGGAGAGTTAACGTGCCTCTGATGGTGCTGCCGCACTAGGAGGTTTTCTGCACTACGGCGAAAAGCCCCATAAACATTCCTTCAGATTCAATCAACGTCCAAATTTCCTATTTCCTCAAATTAACTTAATACAGTTGCATCTTCCTTTGGAGCATTGTAACCGACTGTCAGACAAGTCTATGGGTACTTACTATAATCATTCAACAAGAGAACCCCGTGAGTCACGGGGACTTACGCACGCGCTCCTGACAAGATCCACGCGTGTATTTATGGGGACAGTGTATTGGTAGGTACAACACGGTGAATCTATGGTGTTCCACGGTTAGTACCACCACCTGGTCAAATCCCATGCAAGGCAACAAGTGAGGACACGACGCGGTGGCGTCGGGACGGCCCTTGGACTCGGAACCACTTCTACTGGGACCCCCTGCCGTCGAACGACACCCATACCAGGGCCCTCCATTGTTCGGATTGACATATTTCGTCAATATCGGCACCGAAGGTACAGACTCAGCCGTATCTATCGTACTATAGTCTTGTAGTATATAAAGAGGTCCTTGGTAGCGAAAAACAAACTGAAATCCTGTACAGGTGTCTCTGGCTGTTAGATGTGAATACATGGACGCGAAGAGGGGATTGATGAATAATGAGCCGAGTCGTGAGAAAAATCTAAGAGATAAAAAGCAACGAAAAGGAAAAAAGAGACGAGAGCGGATAAAACAATGAGGCATAAAGAAAAACGAGTATTTAGATACGGTGCACGCATAGAAAATTATTGAGTTTGCAAAGTCACTGGGTTCCCTTTGGCAATGGGGGTGAGTGGATGGGGCGTGGGGGGTGGAATGCCAGTGAATAGAACAGGGGTAGCAGGTGAGCGATTGTGCCGGTACTACATATATAGTGGTAATAGTGAGGAGGATGGTCCCGAGTAGAGGGGTCTGTGCCCACTAAATTTCTCAGGTATTCCAATATATTCCGCGGTGCGTATCTACCTGTTCCTGACGCTACTTCTCTCTCTCTTTTTTTTCTTACTTGCTTACTCGCTCACTCACTCTTCATCGCGGTGCATGCACGCTCAACTTAAAAGAAAAGGTATAAAATGAGGATGGGCGTTCCCAAGAGGAGTTATTAATGGCTTTGACTTCGTTGCTATGGATATCCATAAGTCTTTGGCCTGCGCGGCCTTCGCCACGGACCGGCCACACGGACTTGGCTTCTTCTTGCTCCCTTCGGGACCCTGCGAGTCCCTCCCCTTCATCTTACCGACCTCCACCCCCTCGCATCTCACGGGCCCTCACTGTTTTTCCTTACTTTTTTACAATTTCATTTTTCACATCGTCCTACCTCCACTCGTCCCCTCCGACTCCCACATCCTTGGACCCCTCTATTCTGCATCCTTTATTCTTCCTTGATCATATTCATGTCGTAAGTACAACGGATGAAGAGACCGAACCACGTATGATTATTGGATATCAGGGACTTACAGCCTTTCAAATTTTTGACGCTTTCATAAAATAAGATCCATACCAAACGTCATCATTTAAACAATGTATTTTCTAGAAAATGGAATATCTTGCGCAGGGCAGTGTGGCCCAGGTTGTAGAATGGGTCCACTAATTTACCGTATATCATGGCTACTGTTTTATGGGATTTCTAGGCTTTGTTTTAGGATATTACACAAATGAGAACAGTGACACGAATGCCGGGGTACCTCGGGTACGGATAGGGTGACGATGAGGAGTGTAAGGAAGGTATAAATAAAGGTAAGGAATCAAAGGCGTAATGAAAGAAGAAGAAGAAGAAGAAGAAGCAGAGGAGGAGAATGAGGAAGAATAAAAAAAGTGAAAAAAAAGAGCAACAAATTGACCGTGGCCAGCAGGGAGTCGGGCCCAGCAGGAGGCACCCTAGTCCAAAAAATCTTCCGTCCTCTCATCCCACTCGTCCTTCTCATCCTCCGTCCTCTCGATTCGATTGAACCTCTTCTCCGTCACTCTTCCACTAAAACCTTTCACCTTCGCTCTGGCTCTTTCTCGCGCGGCGGAGTTCGTCCCGAAGCGAGACAAATGAGCGGCATCCGTCTGCGTCACCTGTCCGTCAGTTCGTCCGTAACTTTTGACTTGTACCTTTCTATCCTCTACCAACTCCCTCTCCTTCTCTCTCTTTCGCTCCTTCTTTCGTTTCGTATCTCCCTTTTTACTTTTCACTCTTACGCATACTACTACTTTCTTTCAACTTGGAGTCTGGTCACATCAGGTACCTATTAGATACGTTCTCTGATACAGCTAGTACAGCTATACGCAAAATAAAAACAATACATTTGACATTTTCCAGTTGGTATTTATTTAGTGACGTCCCACTTTAATGGGATCCCATCTCGAGGACACTCTTGTCGACGATGGAGTCTCGAGGACGAGGATGTGGATGAAGATGAAACGGGAAGAGATTCTACAAGCGGGGTTCGTCGTAGTTGCTAGATTAGAATCTGAGCAATGCCTGGGCGTGTCGCCGTCGTCGCAAGAGACATCCGGAATTCGTGAGGGAGCTTCTGTGTGCACGTGTGGTCGTGGCTTAAGGATAGTGGCTGGAGCTTCCGAATTGATAGCTGAGAGGCTTGCATATTTTTATATAAGAAAAAAACGGCTTCAGGGTTTGGCTTCTTATTTAACGATAGCATTATTCTCTTACTTATTATCCTTGTATATATTATATAGTGCGTGCACTATACTTTTCTTACTTATACTTTCGTCCTTGTGGTTTTTCCCTGGGTGAAAAGTATATACATGGAAATGTGAAGGCCTGACGCTACACGGAGACTTCCAAAGCTGCAGCCAACGACTGGACAATAATTATCACGTAAAAGTGATGGTTTAAGGTGACGTCGAAGTGTCTTGTGCAATATTAGAAATTAGCAGCGCAAGAAATTAGCTTTACGAGCTAAGGATTTTACGATCTGTGTCTTATAAGACTTGGGGATTTAAGCGCGCGCCAATAGTGAGCGATGGACCGAAGATTGACGGAAACTACCGATCGGTAGCCACGATCGTTATTGCTGGGGGTACCGATATCGTGAGTATTGTTTCTGGTACTGGCTCACTGATTCTCATCGTACGTTGTTTTATTTTTTTTTCCCCTTTCTTTCTCTACCAGCAAATCTTGCCATCAGTATTGTGGATCTTCTCAGCTTTAAACATGACTAGGACAGAAAAAGGCAAGAGGACATTTAACAAACCCGGATGACCGGTCTATGAAAGAGGATTTGATCCAACCAGTGGCTGGCTTTACTACCGGTTTGTTGCGATAGATAAAATATTTAGCGTTTTCATACCCGCGAAATTGACTTAGCTACTTTGATCGTCGATTCTAATCACTGGAGAGTATAAAGGTGAGATGAAAAATTAGATTTCTCAATTATCAATAGGTATGGTATACCTGTGTCTGCTGTTGTATATATTCGTAATGGTTATACAGTAATATGGCAGTTTTAAAATGATAACCGTGACGCTTTAATTAGACATACAATTCTTTAATTTGCTCTTCCTGTGAGTTTGACTATTTCGTTATTTTCAATGGACCAGATTCTCGGTATGGCGGTGAGTATCAAGCGAGAGATGAGTTTCTGTTGTTGGCGATGAAAAATCGCATAGAGAATGGCGGATTCGACCACGTGTCCTTAATTTCCCAAAAAGCCATCATGACTCATGATTTTTTTTCATGGTAAGGAAGAAGAAGTCGAAGAGAAAGAAAAAAAAGGAATTGGATCGACAGGTGGTCCCGGGTCGAAAGAGAAAAATGATCTGTGCAAGTCGTACGGCGAGTGGCGAGGAAAAGCTATTCGACACGCGTAATGGCGGAAAGTTCCTCCTCGGATACGATACATCCCATACGATCTCAATGTCACCCCATAAAAAATCGGCATAACCTAAAAATCTTCAAAAACTTGAAAACAATGTAAACCACCATGACAAGTAAACATTGATATCTTCCGAAGCGAAATGACCAACGAGTCCAGACCATAATAGGAGATACTCCGTAAAAAAAAGTCCCTAGATAATTCATAGCGAAGGAAGAAAAACAGCAAAGGCTCGAAAGAAACTGAAGGTTAAAGAAAACTGGATAACTTCGTAAGAGGTTATGGGGGACCAAGAAAACGTAAAAAGAGTACGAAGAAGAGAAAAGGAGGATCAACAAGAGTAAAGAATGAACAACAAGCGAAAGAGTAGTAGTCAATCCCGAAGATGGTAGTAGTGCTAGCAGCATAGTAGTAGTAGTAGTAGTAGTGTAGTAGCCGCAGCAGAGGACGGTAGTGGTCCTGGTAGGACGATTTGTCCGTGGTCCGTCCCCTTTTTTCTCCCCAGGTCCAGGTCCCGCGTTTCTCATTTCGTACCGTCCACGAAACCAAACCAAAACCAAAGCAAACCGAACGAAACGAAACGAAACGCTCCGCTCTGCGCTCTCGGTTCTCTTATTCGTTCTTTGCTCCTCCCAACCTCTTGTACGCGTCCCTACCTCGCACAACCTACAACCTCACTACCTCACAACCTCAACCATCCGACGAACCAACCAGCCAACCTTCCTGCCTCTTCTCTTTTCTTCTCTTCTCTTCTCGTCGTCGTCGTCGTCGTCGTCGCTCACTCACCTCCTGGCTCTCTTCTCCTCTGCGCCATCGCCAGACTCACCCGGCTACGGCCGACTCGGCCGTGTATAACAGGGACTCTGTCTCGTTCTAATTCTATCTCGCGGCCCGCCGCTCTCTCTCACTCGAACAACCTATCAACTCGGTGGATAGACGATGAGTCCGGAGGACCGATTCTCTCATCCCATCGACCCACGTTCTTACACCGATGGGCACCGTTCTCCTCTGTGCTCTGGTCCTACCCGCAATACACGCCAGCGAAATAATCTAACGGGTGTTTCAATTTGACTCAAAGTTTTCTTGGGTTTATTTATTTATCTTTGAAAAAAATTAACAAAATTTTCATGATACCGATAGCCTTCGTTGAAAAAAATAATTTTTCAAAATTGATTTTATAAATACTGCATTGTCACTGAAGACTTTTCAAAAAAATTTTTTTAATACTTTGTTTTCAGCCAAAAATGCATTACCACGGTGTACCGCTTTAACCATGCAATTATAAGTTTAAGAGGGAACTCAAAGAAGCCATTGGAAATAATAAAATGTATAGGATGTCGTACAGCTTCCAAGAGGCACTTGTCAAATCGACAGAGCAAACTGGAACATCAAAGTCTCTCACTCTCAGCGCCGAATGGAATCTAATTAAACACCACGTGCTCCATGTCATTAAGTCAACCGGCATCGTGTATCACGTACAATTAAACGGCAATCAAACCGTTGACAAACCAACCGTCGCAATCGCGTCGGTTCTTTAACAAAACTCAGAAGCACAAAAAATAGGAACCATAGAAATACGAAGAAACCAATAAACGTCACCATTACCAAGCATACACAAAAGTACGAGCTTACAAGCTTCTTTTGTAAAGCTCACAAAGTGAGAGAAACTCCAAAAGGATCAAGGAATCTAATTATTTTTCTTTCTCTCTGCTCTTTCAGAAACCAACAACCTAACCTAAAGAAACGTCAAATTTTCAAAGGCGTGTAGCGGTGATGAAAATTCGAGCGGACTAACAGGAGCAAAGTTATGACAAAGATATTCAAATGAGGGTGATCCAGTGGCATGATTATTTCTTGGTCACCCTGTATAGAGAGAGGCACATACAGCCCCGCGGTAGACGGAGCTTTGGGTCGCCGCTAGCTGCAGGCGTCCGGACTTCACGTCTATCCGCTCATTTACCATTTGGTACCTATAGATAGATACCTATATACATGAACATACATATATATACGTATAGGAGTACAGTATATCTATCTATATACATATTTATATATATATATATATATATATATATATATATATGTGTGTATATAGATGCACAGAGAAAGAGAGAGATAGCGAGAGATACAATTTGCGCTATCGCACTCACTCAGACTACTGCTCTTGCGTACCTACGTAGATAGGTAGGTGGCTCCTATATGCTTATTTTTCTACATAACAGCACAAATGTTATGTACGCAGCGGTACATGTGTTCGCACGTATATGCACGACGTATGTAAGCATATAATATATTATATACGTTTCTATATACGCGACAGGCACCATCTCGGAACGGCGGAAGCTACGAGCACCTTCTGTCCGTAGAAAGGACGGGAGGATTTCTTGGCATTTTTTTTCGAATTTTTTTTCTTTCTTTTATTCTAATTTCACAATTCTTTTCTCTCCCTTATCCTCCCACTTGGAAACTCCTCTTTATTATTCCCCGTTAACGTGCTACAGTTCGAAGCGTAAAAATAAGAGAAAGGACGGATATTCTTGATAGTGATGTTTTGCAGTATCCGATATACTACTTATATGAGAATTTTGAAAAAAGTGGAGGAGTTCCAAAAAAATGTTACTACTATAAGGTCACAAGGTCGGTATGAAAGTTTGAGTACGTCGTTGTGCATATGTAGTGCGTGGGTTTCTTTTATTTTCCTTTATACTCCATCTCTCTTCATCTTTGACATTAATATAAGAATTTTTTTCTTCCGGTCTTTCTCTTATTCGCTCTAGACCTTTTTGCGTTTATTCGCCGAGAAATATAACGCCCAGGTGCGCGGTGAACGAAATTGATTAGCGTTCCTGCGGCCGAGAGCGACGCTTGATGAGAAACGATTCGTAATAGTTTCGTTTCATTCCAATTTTTTTTTTTTTTTTTTTTTTTTTCGTTCACGAAGTAGGTAGACATTTTTGATTTTGTTATTTTTTAAGCGAACCAATGACCGCGGTCCAATTTCAAATTTTCATACCGGGTATGCAAAAGCTCGCAGTGCAGCTGCACGTTCATGTAGAAATGCATGGGTCAAAAAATCAGTCCGGTGAAATGAAACTTTTAAGACAATCTCTTACGTCGTTATTATACAGGGATGATTATTTTTTTGTTGTGTTTTAGGTGTAAGCAGACATTCGCTTGGAAGCAGGAAACTTTTCGTAATGATTAAGTGGCTAGCAGACATGTGTGGTGCTAATTGCTTCCCTTCTGGGCTGGCTGTGTGATTCCATGAAACGCGCCGCAACCATCCGCCCCCTAAACTCCACAAACAGCCACATTAGCCAGCTAATCTGTCAACAGCGAGAACTTCCATTGCCCTATGGATCCTTTTCGTGCTTGGGTGCTACCCTGAATATTAGTCAATAAGGGTCAGTTAAGGGCTGTTAGCTTACCGTTTTGGCTTTAGTACAAATACACTTGAGGATAGAGAGTTAGTATCCTAAATTGAGGATGACAGTGGAAATTGCTGCATACCAAATTATCAATAATTACTTGACTCTTGATTAATCCTTGAGTTTTGCATTTAATATAATATTTTTCAATATTTAATTTTATTTAATATTTATCGTAACAATGATTTGTTTCTTAAAGATAGAGAAAAATTTACGGGTTTATTGTGCGTTGTTACTATTAACGTAGTACGACTCGCCGCTGTATCAGATAGTAACAAAAATTTTCGATTAATTTTGAAAATTTTTACGAGCATTCACGGAATTTCACGACTGTCCCGCACGAACGAACGTCGCTACGGAATTAGTCGGCTAATCTGTCAAAAACGCATTTCCGAGGAGAGACGCGCATCCCCAGAAAAAAGTCATTCGAGTGTTACATGCGTGAGGACGATGGGTGCTGGGGCGTGTGTCTCCATATAGATACATATGTGATGTACTAACCCATATGTGTGTATATATATATATATCGGGTGGGCAATGGTCCGTAAAAGTTGGCTGGCTGGCTGGCAGGGAGCAGGCTGGTTTGCCGGTCCAAGAACGGGGATGCAGCCTCGCCAGTTATGTTAATTAAACGCATTTCTAGCCCCTGCATAGGAAATCAAAAAAGAAAGGGAAGAAACTGAACGAGGAACATCATGAAACACAGTGAGTCGACGTGAGGGGTGCTAGCTAATAACACGTCCCAAATCGTGCGCCACACGTCCGACACGGTCTCAACTTTTTCCACTGCGAGAATCAGAAGTTGCGTTTTCATGGTGGTAGACTATCAGGATAATTTTTACGGAACACTATTTGTAATGTGTATTTAGAAAAAAAAATGTAATAGTCGCTTCTTTAAGTACCGACAAGTCTAAGGGAAAATAATTTTTCACGCCAGTTCTTCAGTTTTGTACAATTTTTTGCCACCGCTGCTGGTTAACTAAATGTTGTCGAATATTATTCTTATTTTTATATCAATTTCAATGACCGTTTATCTTACCGCTCAATGGCTACCAATGAAGACCCACGAGATAACTACCTAAAAATTGCAGGTAATCTTCGATTATCCAGCGGTTTCTACCTGCGGCGTTTGCATAGGGGAAACATGCTGTTTACACCGTGAGAACATTGGGTCGACTAATAGCCAATACCTTAAGCCGCTCTTTCTGCTAGTATGAAAAATGCTTCTAAAATCAGTATTTTCTACGGATATAGTATTGTGCCCTACGAGAGAACATGTGCTTCAATCATATTAATGTTACTTTTACGTAGCTTTCATATAATAGTATAAGATTCATGTATATTCAGTCCATGAGTCGAGTGTCAGGCCTAGGGGTCGTCGCTTTTGCATTTAATGCCAAGAGATGGCACTTTTAAAACATATTTTACCTGTGAATGAACCATAGCTGAGATGTAATTATTACCAAATTTGTTTCTTGACAATATCCTTTGGACTTCCGTGAGTTTCATCATTTACATTTACCTTAACTAGGTAAGCTGCTTGCAAAATATAGATTTAGCACTTAAAAACGTGTCACTTTACAGCAATTTATAAGAAAATTGACACATATTTCTCACACTGTATTTCCTTTGTCAAACTTTGCACAGGAACATGAGATCAATGGTTTATTCTAGTAAAGATAACCAAAAGCCATGATTTTGTTGTGTAAAAGAAAAATACTTGTGCCGGAAGTGTGTCAATTTATACCGTGAAAGAAAAACAGCCATTATATATCGTAATATGAAATTCTAGCGAAAGTGATTAAGCAAAACTAAATATTCCTAGTTCATAAAATGTAATGAACGGTAGTATCGTAAATGCAGTAATATAAATTAATGTTTCAACGGTTGTGGGAAATTGTTTTTATCAAATAACGATCTTGTTTCTTTTGGGCACAAATCAGCACATTTCAAAATACTTCCGGCACAAATTCTCCTTCATTAAACTTCGATTGCATATCCAACACAAGATTATTGACCAATTCTACTAAAACGGAGCAACAGCCATGATTTTGTTGTGTAAAAGAAAATATAGTTTTACCGGAATTATGCCGAAGTTTGTCGATTTGTGTTATAAAAGAAAAATACCCAAACGTAGAGGGATCTGAAGAACAAACGTTGGCAAACCCAGTAGGTTGACACGTATTTGTGAAGCGAACGACGTTTAACGTGGCGCCATCTTTACGCCGACCGACGTACTAAGGAGTTTAACTCAGAAAAATTCTAATGTACCTCTCATTATCTTCAGAGTCATTCCAATGTTATCCTATATACTATGTAATGTGCATAAGACCGTTTTTTTATTTAAGTGAAATATTTTCTCATATTCTCAAGTGCTCGTAGGTGGAATGCACCTTCTAATATAGCGATCGGTTAATCGACTCTTTGTATAAAAGGAATAAAGAGAAAAAGAAAACATTATAAACGTGCCGCGAACCACGTATTACACAGCGAGAATCTTTTACAGCGCGAAATAAGCTTCTAATGGAGCGGCTAATATCTAATATGCCGATGCTGATATTACATACGCCCAGAGTTTCGCGGAACTTCTCAAGAACAAGAAAAAATGTGTATTATCCAGCATCAATATAACGTTACGGCCATGCATACGTGGTCGGTTTCAAAGAACTAATGGATTTCTAAGAGGACGAGGATACGATGTTTTGATTTTCTAAGGAAACTAGGCAATTGTTATACTTTGCTTTTTATTTACGGTTACATAGTTAAATCTGGCAAAGCTTTAGCAGTTTTTTTTTATCAGTGCGCATTCTAATATCAACATTCGTTAATAATAAAAATTATAAAATACTGTGAAATGTTCAATTTTTTTCTTTTTAAACGATATTTAAAAAATGACTAAAGCTTTCTATTTTATTAAACATACAAAAAGAACTCTATATATCCTTTCTATGTTGCGTAAGGGATAGCGATGAAATGTACTTTCATTTTAACGTCGTTAGAATATTATAAAGTATAAAGATAAGCTGATTTGCCAAATATATATTGTGACAAGATTATTCGTGATGGCGTGCATAGGCTTCACTGTGATGAACAGAGCTCATAGAAGCAGATAATTCGAGCTCCTCTTGTAATGATGACCTGAGGGCATTATTCTGATCGGAGACGGCCTTCTCTTTATCCTTGAGAGAAAAAATCTTCCACTCGTCCTCCAAATCCTGCAAGAGTATATCCCTGGCAGCACACTCCTTCCAATTTGCCAGATCGTCTTCATCCTCGTGCTTCCACTTGTTCCACAGATGCTTGGCGTCTTCGCTAAAAGAGTAATAAAAAGAGTCAAATATGGATTAATTATAAAACAGAAATTATTGGCAATTGTTATTCGACTGATTTATTTATGTTCCATTGAGAAACCCGCTAAGAATATATCACAAGTTTCTTGGCAATCATAAAAGAGATGGCGCGCGACACTCGCATAAAAAATTACGAATGATTCATCGGTGTTGAATAACGAAATTGGCATTGAGTATTTATTCGCGAATATTACGCGATCACTAAATCTAGAAGGGATGCGTGATGCTGTATCAATAGTACTGAAACCTCTGCGTCATAGTAATAAAATTATTACTGCAATATGGAATCGATAATGCATTTACAATGGCTTACCTGAACATACTCGTATCTTCACAGATTTTTTCTCGTTCTTTTAAACGCAAAGCTCGTTTCTCAATGCTCGCCAGACCTAATTGCCTGGATTTATCATCCAGATGCAGATTTAAATTGTCAAAAAGTTCGCGCTCACGTTGGAATTCCAGCCGGGTTCGCATATCATGCATTCTTAAAGCTTCCTGCCATTTATGGGTGCGACATGCAGCTGTTTCACGTTCTTCCATTTCTTCAATTAACTGTTTAATTTCATTATGAGCCAAGTAACGATGCTTCTTCACAAGACTTGTTTCCCTGGGTGACGATACAGGCCAGGTTCCAGTTTTTCCATATTCCAATTTCATTGATGTTGTTCGCTCAAATGTAGGACTATTTTGATTCCCATCAGCCCTATCTTGATCTCTTTCATGAAACTTTACTGAATTATCTTCAACATTATCTTTCTCTGAGACAATTTCCGGTGACAAAGCATTATCCTCGTGTTCCCAATAATTCTTCGAATTTTTTAGTCCAAAATGTGGAGCATGCGAATCATTTGGTGAATCGTAAGATATTGATGATCCACGAGAGGGTCGAGCTTTATCATCATGATGATCCTGAACAGGTTCACGATGAGGAGCATAAGTGGCAGATCTCATGTTGGTTTCTCCAAGACTCGTGTGAGAATTCCTTTCAGAGTATTTAGCACTCAGTACCTTAGGCTCATCTCCAGTTCTCAAATTGAAAGGACATGCCCCTTTAAATCTCCAGGAAGCACCATGGCTCTTCTCCCAAGCTATATCAGAATCGGCCTTGCTGACTTTTTCCTCCAAGGGTTTGCCACTCTGATGTTGATCTGAGGAAGGATGTGGTGAATGATCAAGATTTTTAAATTCTACTGACCTTTTAAATTCCTGGCAGCCATTGAATGTTGTGCGATGATTCTTACCATTCTCGCAATAATTGTGACGCGGAAAGTAAAGTTGCTGTTCTGAACGCTTCTCCTGGAGTTTCTCCTTCAAGACTTCCAAGGGCGGATGGTCCTCTTTGTCCTTCTTCTTGGAGTCGAATTCATTCAGTTCCTTGCGGTAAAGTTCGTCGTCGCTCCTCAGAAGCTGCTGAAGCTTCGCTTGCCTGGCATCCAAATCCTCAGTCTTGCAAGCCTTCTCCTCGTGCTCTTTGTTGGGATTCCTGAAATTCCAGGTGTCCAAGTGTCGTGCAATTGCACCCTCCCTCTGAAAGTATCTCGCCGTCTGTTGATAATAATCGAACCTTTGAGCGGCCTCATTCTTCTTCTGCGCCGACAGCTGATACTCCTTCTCGCGAAACCCGCCAACCCTGAAAACGAGAAGATAAAGAAGCAGGACATTTAAAAAAAAAAACTTTTTACCAATGACATAACGTACAGAATACTGTAAATTTCACAGAACCTCACATTCGCGTGACGAACGGAATATCTTGGCATAAAAATTATTTTTGGTTTTACGACATTGCCGAGTCTAGAGTCTCCACGGCGAAATCCTTAACTCTTCATATCGACTATCAATATATTGTATCGCGAGTATAAATCAGCAATGCCGAAGGGCACAACAATCTGAAGTAGTCGAAAAATCATCAAACCCCATTAATCATGAATGATCAGCGATGAGAAGGTGTCTAGCTCCTTCAGGAGAAGTGCATCGTAAACAGTGGAAAGCGGTTGGCTAAGAATGCGTTATAGAATAAAGCGTCTAGATGCTGATACGTCCTAGAAGACGTTCTATTTTGAGGCTCGGGGCTGATGACGTCACAAACCCGAAAATACGCAGATCGGGTGGAGGCAGTCACGGCCCCATCGTCGGTCCAGGTCTCAATCTTTCCCGGAGTCTCGAAAACGTCGTGGAATCGTTATATATTCGCGAGTGCAGAATAACAATCCCAATAAAATTTATAACCCTGATAACCCAGGATACAATATCCATGTGGTTGATCCACCTGTTATTGGAGCTGATCTTAGATCCCACAAGGGTTTACATCTTAGTAAAACAAGGGTGCAGAACTCACAGTCCGGTTTGAAGAAAGTAGGTCGTGATCGCCCACGCGATCCCCGATCCTCCCAACTGATCCCCTCATCCTCCACGTCGTCCAGGAGGCCGACAGTGGCGCATTACCTTCTTCATCTACAAGATCATCGGATTGGAGTGCCGAGTCGCGATTAACGAACGTCGTGTGACGTTGATCTAATCTGAGGAACATTTCCTCCTGAGAATTTTCCTTTTCTACTTGCTACCACTCTAGCACACGTTCTCTTCGGATATTCTTTTTGGAGATAGAACAGAGGAACCATGCCCGGTGCAGGGGGGCAACAGCCACCCCAGAGAACGACCTTTAGACCACCCTGGGTCAAGGATGGTCCCAACCCTCTGCCCATGCCTTCGGCGCCCTGGACACTCAATTCCAGAAGAGATCCCAAGCCGAAAACCGATGAACCGCCGGCATTTACACAAGTCACTCTCAAGGTTGGTACAAATAAATTTATTGAACTGCGTAATCGTCCATTTTGTATACTCGATACTAAACGATCGTATATGTTGCTATGATTGTGGCTACCGCATTAAGGCAACAGAAATATTATGAAAAGGGATACAAAATTTTGTAATATTATCATCAGGCATTGTTTTCGGTATCGTGTCCGGTTGATAAGATTTTAATACCATCATATAATAATTGGTAATTGCATTTGCACTATCTTGCTTACGCAGTGTCATTTTGATAATTAAATTCCCATTGCTCTCTATGGATTATTGGATTTTCAAAAATCTCTAATAATAATAATATATATATATATATATATATATATATATATATATATATATATATTATCTATTCGTCTACATCCCTCAAATGTAAACTCACGTGGTTCAACAATTTAATATATTGTCGCGCCTTGTTCCTATTACGGTCGTATTGCATTAACACGTGGTGCAGGTACAGGGTCAGCGAGGTCTCGTTAGCGGCCAACTGGAGGAACGCAAAGTACGCTTCGCTCGGTGGAAGTTTATTTTTGTTTACGACATTCCGCAAGAAAACCCGTAGAATCTTTTGGTTCTTCTGTGTGGCACACTGCCACGCGTAGCCGGATAGATCGTCCACAAAGATTGCGAGAAGCGTAGCCATCTAAATATATTCTTTAAACATTTTTTTTTTACAATAACCCATGTAATTCGTGGCACCAGAGATCTTCGAGTTCGAATACAAATTAGTTCCGAGTGAGAGAAAAATGTTCATACGGCCCCATGTCTAACACATGTACATACATTCTAAAATCTATATTCAAATATGTATATAACATTGATATCAGATAAGATTTTCTACTAGACCGTACTAGTTTTCCGCTACCGCTCTAGTAAAATCAGTTGCCATACGCTTACATCGTTTAAATAAAAAAGCGGGATTTTCGAAAAAATCTAAATGACCTAATGCCATGAAAATCAAAAATCAAAGCAAACGTAGGGGGGCAGGGATAGTGCAAAGTAATGGAGTGCCGTATATAAGCCTTTGGGTCACGATTATTTAAAGACACCCGTCTATTTCAAATGTCTACCGAAAGCCAGCTGCGTCTTCCGTTCAGTTTATTAGCAGCACGCATGTGCGTTCTCGTACCTACGACGCAAGTAGCATGTACATACATACATGCTTTACGTAGCAGTACAGATATACATAGTACACGTGGGTGTCATGACACTTGGCAAACGAATCTATGTATATTGATGCACGGAAATCCGCCTGTTTTCCCGATAGTTCCAAAAAACACTGTTCGATCAGGAATCTATTGATAGTCGCAGAATGATTTCGTAACTGTCTACCGTTATATGCCGTATGCATATACGACTGCCATGCAGGATGCTCAGTCAGTTCTAGTAAAATATGACAATCGTTACCAACGATTAAAATACATATTCAGAAACGCTTTCGTTCAACTTTCCATCGTAGAAAAACACAAACGCATTGACGTCCATAATGAGAACGATGATAAAGGTGCGTCGAGATCGTCAAAGATTATTTAAAGACATCCAAACGAGCCGTGTGACTTGCCAAGCGTCCTCGGCCACGACTCCCTCTCTAAAAGAAGAGAGTGAGAGAGATGCTATTATATTTTTTTTGGGATACTTTTCACCGAGACACTTATTCTTCTTCCTCTTCATCCACTCTCTCCGTTTCTCTCCTGTGTCTCTCGTTAGTCGCGCGAGCTGCCACTCACTCAGCCATCATCCTCGTTACGAACTGGTTTTCGACAGGCGTGATTATTGTTAAGAAAGAAATTGTATAAACACTTTGAAAATTCTCATCGACTAAATTACTCTAAATAGTGTGTATATATATATAAGTTCATTTTTTCTATTTTTGTGCTTCAAAATTCATGATACCAGTGCAGATCGTCGCAGACAATTTAAGAGTAGGGTTGTATTTTGGCTAAGCATAGTGATTCTCAATGGTGCGTGAATTTTAATAGAATTTACTGTGTATACGCACGTTGTGTTATACAGGTATGCCTAATAATAGTGCTACTAAGGTAAATGTTCTTGTGCACTGTTGCAGAGTGTGCCAAAGCCGGTGGAGGCGGCGCCTGCGGAGGCGCCAGTTCGCAAGCAAAGTAAAATAACAATAATACCCTCGCAACCGAACAGCGAGAGATCCTCCGAGCCGAAGAGTAATACACAGCCAACGAGTTTGTCGAGGACCCGTGAAAATGGACGCCACGAATCCTCTAGGCCACAGCTGGAGCGACAAGTTCGGGTGGAGAAGTCTAGATCAAGGAGCGACGTCGTGCCCTTGTCAAAAAGTGAAAGCACTACGGGTAAGATGTAAGATTTGACTTTTTTTTTGTGAGCTGCAAATGAATTGTGACCTTGTGTTTTTTTTTCTTCAGGTGCACCAACTCTTTCGAAAAGTTCCTCCAGAGCGGCTATTCCTCCTCCACCACCACCAAGGCCACCACCTCCACCTCCTTCAAGGAACATCATAAAGGATTTACCTCCTCTTAGTGAAAAACAGCAGATGACATTGGAGATGCTGAAGTCCAGACCCAGGAAGCGTCCTGATTGGGCTAGTATGATGAAGGAGGTCGAAGGGGGAAGAAAGCTGAAGCATGTCAGATGTAATGATAGAAGTGCACCCTTAATTGAGAGGGTCAATAAAGTCACAGCTGATCCAGCAGGTAGGGAAGGATCTAAAATTTTTATCATTCCTCATACAAAACTTTACTCCGAGACAGATGAACGCTGGAGATCTAACGATTACAAATGGATTTCCACTTTTAGGGGATGCTCACTTTGTATTTGAGTCCGAAAAATCGAATACGTACAATAAATTACTCCAGCAAATTCAGGAAGGCGTTAAGCTTAAGAGCGTCAAGACAAATGATCGATCCAAACCGATGCTTCAGGGTCTCAGGAAGTTCCGCAGGCAACTCACGATAGAGGAACAAATACAAAAAGCAGAAGAGGCGCCCGTCGAAGAAACTGTACCTGACGAGATGGATGACATTGATGCCGTCCGAGACGACCTTCAGAGTACTAAGCAAATGCTCGCTTTGGAACTTAGGAACAAGGAAGCTCTTGAGAGAGAAAATAAGAGGCTACAGGTGGGTTAAGTAAAAATTGTTTATTTTTTCCTGGCTAAGCATCAAGGTCTAAGTTAAACGTAAACTTATATTAAAACATTTCTATTTTATTAGGCGAGACTTCTCAATCTGGAAGTTGAACTCGAGCGCGAAAAAGCTCAAAAGAGTGTACAGGAGTACAAAAAACAGGACGAAAAATTGGCCGAGTCCTTGAGAAACGAGGCTAAACAGGCTAGACAGGATGCAGAGAGACTTGAGAAGAATTACGCTACGGCTGCCGAGGAACGCGACAAGGCTAAGAACGAACTGGAAGAGATGAAGCGCATGTATGCTGCTTTAGAAAGGCGCATGAAAGCTGGTAAGAATATTATAAAGCTATGGTCTTATTTGTTGTTGAATAAGAATTGGTTGTTATCCTCAGGATGTTCAACGTTTCTTGTATATTTTTACATTAATACTACTAATATGTGGTAGACAGATCAGTTTTTACAACGCTAATCAATGCTGTTAACATCTTCGTACAAGTATAGTATTGGAATATGAGAATTCTCTGAGAAAGGCTGATATATTATAAAGAACATGTTGAAAATTAATCAACTAATATTTTATTCGCTCTATAAATATCAGTATTTCTCAAGAATCATACTTATCACGCTGCTTTTACTAATGCCACTTTATTTTACCCGTGTATAGAGTTAGGGGTAGAGTCAGAAGTAGAACCCATAATAGAGTTAGCAGTAGATAGCGTAGACGTGGCGTGGTACGATGTTTCAGGAATGGCTCTCGCTGGATGTCCAAGCGCAAAGGACGTAGCCAGGGTGGCATCTCAAAAGAGCGTCGATAAACCTGAATACGAGAGCGAAGAAGAAGAAGAAGAGGAAAGCTCTGAAGAAGAGGAAGAAGACGATCCCAATATGGCTGCTGAGAAGCGGTTACAGAGAGAATTGAAGTTACTCAACACGAAAATCAAGAGTTTCAAGTGAGTTGCTTTTATTTTTGAATTTAGAATTCTGTAGTGGAACCTCCTTCTGTTTCATTCTCATGAAATAAAATATTTCATAAATCATGATGCATCCAGGGACAAGGCCATCAATGCCAGAAAGGAGAGACACGCCCTGAAAGACCAAATAAAACAACAGCAGAAAATGCTTCGGGATGAAAAAAAGAAATTCAAGCACTTACAAAAAGAAGTTGACAAGATGGCTAAACTGATGGGAGATGCTGAGGATGAGGAAGAAGAAGAGGAGGAAGAGGAGGAGGAAGAAGAGACTGAATCAGAAGATGAATCAGAATCAGAGGAATCTGAAGATGAAGAAGAATCTGAAACTGACGACGAGGATGATTCCGCAGAAAAGCGCAAGAATGATTTACAGGTAAATTTCACTTGCTTTTACATGGATAACCAATGATGCAAGCTATGGACCTACAATTATCTATAAAATATGTTTTTGAATTTCAGATACGAGTAAAGAGGCACGAGGGTAGACTTGCAGCGTTGAAAAAGGGTAATTATTTATTGAAAGCACAGGTGGATCGCCTCAAAGATGACTTAGCAAAGCAACGAGAAGAGAGTATTACCCTACAGGAGGATTTGGATTCCGTACTGGCAGAGTTAGGATAATAAGATAGATCTTGGATTATCATAATTGCACTTATAAATACAACAATGTACACATACACACACATATACAAACCCTGAACAATAGCAACTCATGCACGTAAAATCCAAACACATTAAAAACGCCTTGATTCGTATTATATTTTTACCACTAGGTAAGGGATTAACATATTTATATGATGAGGCTATTGTTATTTTGTTTTTGCAATGAAATTGTAAAATATTTTTTAATAAAGATATTGGCCAATGAAAATACATTCACGAAGCCTTCGTTACATTATACTTACATATTTTATGATTCTTGTCACTATTCTGTGGAATACGTCTCGTAGAATTTCTCAAAGAGCGCAATCAATAAATAGGAGCGGTACTCAGATACGTTCAGGTATAACTAAAATACAAAAAACCGTTGACATTGAAACAGTTCAGAGGTAAAATGTAATCTTTTTATAGCTCCAAACAATAAAATCCCTAGAAAGCATACGACGTTCTGTTTCAAATTTATTACACACGATGACTACGTTTAATACTGATCTAAAAGAATAGACAATGGACATTTCCACTTGTAAGAAATATTTGAGATTTGTCAATTCCTTTAAATCAGTTGTTTAGAACCAAGCTGGAGTTCAACAGCGAACCTAGTGGATATATTCGGTAGCTTGTTTTTCCCTATGCGGTACCCATCTAGGGAATATAGTTTACATAGGTTGGTAGTGGGTAGTTAGGAGAGTCTTTTGACGGCCGACAGGCAGACATTGGTTTCCTTGTAAAAGTAAAACGCAATAAAATTGAGATTCTGAGTTTTTCCAACTGGATCGATTTCTGCAACCATATTTCTGATTACCGACAATCAACATTAGTATTAACTAAACCGGTTTAATACTGTCGTGTAAACGTAGTCATGGCATGGACTACTAAGGGCCGGTTCCACAAACACGGTTTATCGTTTAAACTTCTTTTATCTTCAAAATACAAATTTCTGATTGGCTCATAGCGGAGATAAACCGACTTTAAACAATAAATCGTGTTTGTGGAACCGGCCCTAAACTTCCTACACTTTTTGCAAAGTGGTAGAAAGGATACATAACCAGAACAGACTGGAATAGATCTATTAGATCCGTTCGTGCAAGCTTTCTTACGCGCTGCGCAGCACTATAGGTGTGTTCGAAAATGAACCAAGAGCGCAGAGTGTATCGTTACTTATCTGTTTATTGCATGCATTTGATTGAAACACATCATGCTCGCGGCGCTCTCGGCTCATTTTCGAATACACCTACAGTGCTCAGAATGCATAGGAATACGGTCCAGATGAAGAGTACATTCGAAATTCAATATCCGTACTCGCGCATAGCTTTATCTCTTTTTTATATGCATGCAAATAAAAAGGAATATGCTGATACTTATAATCAAACTTGTAGTAATCGCAGTGAATTTGGAACAACAAAATTTAAGGGGTGGACTATATTGTTAGAAGCGTTTATAGTTGAATTGAACTAGTAGGAAAAATTGGAATACATATCTGACCAAAGAAAAATCTAACTTCCCTAAGTTTTCCGACACACACGACAGTAGCCACGTTCAGAAATGTTACTCAGGGTAATTTAGGCCTATTGCGTCTCTTTTTATTATCGTTATTATGAAGAAGATAGAATAATACTAGAGTTGATTTTAGAGAGGTTTCTGAACGTACCCCTGACAACCATAGCTATCAAGCTCTGGTATATTATTCATTTTTATGTTTTGTGAAATACGAAAATTCAAAGCTGTTAGTCAATCGTATATCAGATTCATACAATTCTTGTAGTTCACAAAAATGAACACATGGTATCGAGCTTCTATCTGTTTATGAGTTATAACAAATAGATCAACGCAATTGGTTCAATACGACTTAAAACCTACACGGTAGACAGGGGGTCGATTGTGTAACTCAAATGTAGTGAAAATGTTGAAAGTGAATAGCTATAGCCAATTCATTGTGCATGACTTCGTTTGATCCTAACACGCGATTAGCTAGCAGCTATTCACTTTTCGTATTTTCACTACGCTTGAGTTACACAATCGACCCCCAAATCATAATGTTCTAAAGCAATTAGAATTTTGAAAAACGAATAAACGAACAGACCTAGTAAGACAAAAATATTAAAATTGAGGTTATCTTCATATTTACAATAAATACAGATCTGATTTAATTGCAATCCAGTCGGAATAAAATCGTCATTCTGTAAATTATTTGTGCTTTGAATCGAAACATTATTTTCAAGTTTGAATTTTATTGTTGGTATCCGTGATATAAGCCAACCCGTAACCGGTATCGCCATCTTATTTGTTTCGTCAGTGAAGGAGAAAAGCAGTAACGCGGAGTTTATAGCGTATTTTTGCGTCTTGATGTACGTATTCACATTGTGTTTGAAGTATTAAAATGTCTCACGGTGGAAGAAATGAATGCAGAATTTATGTCGGCAATCTACCGCCGGATATAAGGACAAAGGATATTCAGGATCTTTTTTATAAATTTGGTAAAGTTACTTTTGTTGACTTGAAAAACCGGAGAGGACCGCCATTCGCCTTCGTTGAGTTCGACGACCCAAGGTAAATTTGATGCGTATAGTTTGTTAGAAATCATCCATAAATCCTTTTAATCCCATTCATGTGTATTTTACTGTGTTTAGTAAATTCTAATTAAAACTCATCATCCATTTAGTCGCGTGATTCTTTACTTATATAGGTTATTTTACAGCTTGTGAACTCCATTATTCTAGATGTAATTATTTTATTAAATTGTCAAAGTTTTTGAAAACCTATATTTAGACGTTGAAAAAGTCGAAAACTCAAACATTGCAATTATTATTAAGTTTATTTATTCCTCTGTTGCTTTCATTTTGTAACATTATTGTGTTTATAGTCATTGTATACACTAAAAAAATTAAATTGTGCTCAACATTACATTGAAGAATTTGAAGAATGTTCATGTTGTACTTGATTAATACTTACATGTAGGTTATATTCTTTTAGATGTCCTTGTTAAATTACATAAGCATTTATTATGTTATATATGACAACCTTTGTCATTTCAGTTTTATGGCTTGTATATAAATGAAATTTATTTTTTTCCTTTTCGTAATTGCTATCATATTGGATTAGAATTGCTCAATATGCATACAAGTTCAGAATACACAAGTGCTCAATATATTTGTTCAAGACTTTGATATATATGAAATACCAAAGTACAAGTCAACTTATCTCGCTTTATGATAATATAAGTGAAATGTGAGGTAAGATTATCAGTGCAATAATAAATTATTTTAACAAACGACCAGTGAATATATACATACATAAGAAATAAATGTGAAGAGTTATATACAATTAATCATAACTAATATTTCTTATGTAATATAGGAAAATATTTTATATAATCCATCATTCCATTTTGGTTTCAGAGATGCAGAAGATGCTGTACATGCTAGAGATGGATACGACTATGATGGTTATAGACTACGTGTCGAATTCCCCAGAGGTGGTGGACCCAGTAACAATTTCCGTGGAGGTCGTGGAGCAGGTGACAGTGGTCGAGGAGGTCGTGGCGAAATGAGTAACTCTCGAGGTCGTGGACCACCTGCAAGACGCTCTCAGTACAGGGTCCTTGTAACAGGGTTACCACCATCTGGTAGTTGGCAAGATCTGAAGGATCACATGAGAGAAGCTGGAGACGTATGCTTTGCAGATGTTTACAAAGACGGCACCGGCGTAGTTGAGTTTCTACGCTACGAAGACATGAAGTATGCCGTCATGAAATTGGATGATTCCCGATTTAGGTCACATGAGGTAAGTCTCATATAATCATTGTGCATTAATCGAACTCGTCGTTAATTATTAGAATTGCTATCAGTGATAAGTTGTGCATGAAATTAGGAACTAACGATATTATTGTAAATATTTGACTTTGATCTATTGGGCTATGCTTAATTTTGTGTATAAATCTTCAATATTTCCTAGTTGTGAGCAACTTGTGTGTGTAACACTTACATACGAATTCATAATTTTAACACTGATATAAATATGTATGTAGCCTGTTTAGACTTTGATAACTTCTTATCTGGGGGACTATTGCCAAATAATTTTCCTAAGTAAAATACGCTGTATGTAACATCCAAGTTTTATTTATGTGACATCATTGTTTCTTCTCTACATTTCTTTACCTATCTTAGCCTTGCCACATATATTAACTCCATTGATTAATTTTCTTATTGTAATTGCCTTAATTAGTATCATATCGAATGTGTGAAGTGGATTTATACAAGCAAGAGCATGGAGGAATATTTGAAAATAAAAAAAAAACATCATAAGTGATATTATTTAATAATATACATAAATATGTTTCTCTTCCCTTTGTCTCTTTGTACAAAATGAATGATATAATACCGGCACAAAAAAAAAGTATCTATTTACTATCAAGAGGTTCTTGTACTGTGTGTTCCCAGGGGGAAGTGGCCTACATTCGTGTTAAAGAGGATCACACCAGTGGTGAAAGAGGCCGTAGCAAGGATCGTGAAAGAGGACGAAGCCGTTCCAGGAGCTACAGTCCACGACGTCGGGGTTCTCCTACTTATTCGCCACTACGGCGCAACTATTCGCGGTCCCGATCCCGTTCTCGTTCCAGATCTCGTTCTTACGACTAGTGTGTACGTATATGCTCTACATGATAATATCAGCAAAAGGTTTACTCACATTCGCCTTGCCACATTTCATTATTGCTGATTTGAGCATTACCAAAATAACAACAATAACGAAGACTACAGATACACAAAACAAAAATGGAAGATTGTACACGAACGATAAATCGAACAAGAGAGTGAGGGTACAAAACGAAAACAGAAAATTAGGAATTCTTCCAGTCCAATCATACCTCGCAGCGTTGATTTTACTAATTGTCTCGTTTTTTGTCATCTACGCGATCAAACGAGAATTACGTTATCGGTAGCATGATGGAAGAAACTACAACAAGACAAAAACGAAATACTTGGGAGATCCGTATATGAATTGTACAAATACAATAACTACAAATAATTGCTAGTCCATTCCAGGACGAAGCTGTATTACTTCTCAAAGTTTAAATACGAATTGTTACATATGAACTTTTTGATTGCTTCTAATCAAACCAGCAATAACGAAATCCTTCGATTAATCGGACTCTAACGATGTTTATATTTCCAAACTAATGAACCGTTGCCACTAAGAGAGAAAAAGCAAAGAACAGCATATAAACATGAGTGCATCTTAATTCTATTGACAATTTACCATTCGATAAATTGAAAAGAAATCGCCATTCGCATCACTCGCATTGGATATCGACAAAGTATAATTGTTTAACCTATAGAACTATAACGATTTATTATTATTTTCGAAGAGACATTCCTTTAGTTTCGCGCGATTCATTCTTCAACATCATATTTTACGTGTAAAATGTGCGAGGACTTTTGTATAACATTAAATGGGGATCTTGCATGACTACTTGAGACGCAAATATCGCGAAATTTACCTTTTATGAATATTATGTTCTCATTTAACTGCCAAGCAAGCCATTCGAATCTCTGTACTTGAGACGCAATGTGGTAAATAATCAATGGCGTATATAGTAAAACAAAAATGTTTAAGTGTCCACCCTTTTGAAAGATTAACAAGATTTTTCACCTGACAACAATCTTAACGCATTAAAAATGCATTAACGTTAAACATGATTTTCCAGTAATCCTCAAACATTTTTGATATTTTTAACACACTTGTCATCTATTTTGCTGAATTTCATGCGTCAATTAATTTAACCAACTTCTCGTCGTGAGATAACAAACGTCGTAATCGTTTGCGGTGAGCTCTGCGTGGACCGTTCAATTTTCCGTTTCTTTTTGTTTGTTTAAGCCACGCGTTGCATCACCATTGTTGATAGTTCACTCAAAACTGATATTCATATCTTCTATTTCATCTCGTTACTCTCTTCTCTTGTATAACATCAATCATCACCAGAGCTACAAAATGAACACCAAAGATATATAGCATATTTTTTCATTTTTTTAAATTATATAAAAAATAAAAACTTTTTTCATTTGCAAATTTTTCTGAAAAAAGAATCATTGTGGGACAGTCCTTCCGAAAATGTGACAATCTGACGAAAGCCCCCCATTGTTAGTAATTAATGAATTTTATCAAATTAATGTGCATCTCTCTTTAATCAATTAGAATATAAATTAACGTGCGATACTGCGTTTGTGTCTTGATGACTAGAAATCAAAGTAATTCTTAGCAAACGATTTGAATAAGAATTTAACCCATGCACGATCCCCATTCGTACAAAATATCTTGCAGTGACATCTCATTTTCTGAACGTGAATGATTTCGCAAAACGCTTTAAATTTATTAATTGATATTAATATTTAATAAACGAAAACGACAAGCATGTTCATTTGGTTCCAACGAAGTGTGATTTACGTGTCTCCCTTTAATCAGATATAACGCGCATCTTCCGTATGTCACATTTGCCTAGCAACCGGATTCGATGAGCGTCAACATCAAGGAGGATTAAATAAATTTTGAAAACAAAAAAATTAAAAATAATAGTGCAACCACATGAGTCGATTAACACGAACTCGTTTCCTCGTTGACTCTTTTTAACAAAATTTTCGTCACTCCCTGGGATTTGTGCCCGAGGAAACTGTCGAAAAAAAAAGAAAAAACCTGAAAAAAAAGAATCAAGAAAATTTCTGAAGCAACGGGTATGAGAGCGTTATTATTTCTTGTCGGATGCATTGAAAAAAAGAGCAGGTTTCCGCGTGTCTGATACAACTAAAATGGCAAATAATTAATCCTCATTGGGATTTATATTGGAAAAAAACAAAAGGTTGGGGTAAAAGTGAAGGAACGATTAAAAACATATTTTTATTCTACGACAATTATAAATTTTCTCGTCGTAAATTCGGCCTGCGATATCAATATTAATAAATGTGAATAACGACGGGTTTTGTTGGCTACAAACTACAGTGTCGCTTACTGGAAATTTCTCTACGTATCTTTTCTAATCTTCTCGCCTTCAAGTTCTATTCAGTCCGCTTACTGTATGCATTGGCGAGATCGCAGGCAATGCGTTTACGATGAGAACATTTGAATGAAAAGTAAAGAAAGAAAAAAGAAACCTTAACTCTAACGAATATTGTATTAAGGAACTAATGTATTTTTTCTTCTTTTGTATATTGGATTGGATTGTAACACAATGAATGAAAAACTGAAACCCACACGATCTTACTTCTTGGATGGATATAATACACGGTTCGTGCTTGATGATGGGATGAGATGGAATGCATTATTGGATGGATTTTGTATGGAGCAATAAAAATTGTAAAAGAGGATATAGAAAAAAAAAAATGATAAATCGAGTGGCGCAGTGGAAGTAATCGGACTGTTCAGGATACGTCGAAGAGGAAATTCAGGAAAACCGGGATCCTTCAAAGAGGAGACGCATTCCATTCAAAGGATTCTCGATTAGCTGGATTTTCATCGGGACACGTACGGCAAAGTCCATTTCACGCACGCCTTCCTGGATAATCGAAGCGTTTACCATTCTCTATCTCTAGTCGAGTTACACACTCCTCCTCTTCACGAATAATATAAAAAAAAAAAATGTAAACAAACTTAACGACAGAGAATGTTTCTCGACTCCTACGGACGTCGTCCTCATCCTCGTCATCGTCCTCCTCGTCGCCGTCGTCGCGCTTCAGTGAAACATTGGCTCTCGCGATTTTTGAATATTCCACCGTGTCTCTCTCTCTCTCTCTCTCTTTCTCTCTCTTTTTCTTTCTCTCTAACCTTCTATGTATCGTTCAAAGGACATTTTCCTCTTTCTCTCTCTTTTACTTTTTATTGTAATACATTAACAACAGTTCACGTGATTAGTTGGCGCATTTATAATCATACCCGATCAACAGGAACAATGAGAAGAACTCATCGAAACTTTATTAATGAGTGGTCCTGTTAATAAAAAAAAAGTGCAGTACGAAGAGAATCAGTCGAGAACCATTTACGCGTTTCTTAATAAATTCGTATTAGTTTAATCGTGCGTTGAGTGTAATTAAATCGGTGTATTAAATAAGCGGTGCATCGTAATTCCAATTTAATTAATGAGAGCGATCTCGCTGGATGCCATTAAATGAAGGATTGACGCGGCGGCGGACACAAGAGGATTTTATACGAGATGAAATCACTGTTTGACGAATTTCATATACTGCGAAAAAAAAGAACGGACTGTCTTAATTTCTCTATGTACGTTCCTACTACTTTCTCTCTTTCTCTGTGGGAAGCAACGGAGAGGAAAAAAAAACAGTAAACGAACGTGTGACAGAATTTATTTGGGATTCGGATGCCTCGCGGGATTTATTAATACGCGCACGTGGAGGATTCTTGGATCTGGATAAATTTACTGGATCATTTCATTTGGGGATTTGGTCGAGATGGATACAAGTCGCACGGACGGAATGCTATAAATATATCTGTTTCGATGGACATTTGGATGGATTCGGATTCGGATGGATTTCTGCTGTCTCACATACATAGGGTTCATGGAACAAAAAAATGACTTCACTAGGTCGTCGCATATGGATTTCCGGAATCGGTGTCTTCGCTTACAATTAGGACGAACAGATTCAGGATCGATACAGGAATATAATGGTGTCTATTGGATAATTTCCTTTCTCATCATGACTCTGAACAAAATAAGAGAACTCGGATTGCTTGCATCTTGTACCAAAAGGTATTTCAACACAGGTTCTTATACATTCAAAGGTACATTACATAGATTATTCTGCATGCTTTGCTTTTAAGTTTGTCATTATGCATTTAAACGGTTTTTTTAACTTTATTGGCAATTAAACTCTTGCACTGGTGGCAGGTCTTTGGCTTGAACACGTACAGTTTTACGTACATTAGACCTTGTAGCGCATCTTTGAATGTCTTCCTGCAAATTTTCTGACAAGTTGTACATTTAGCTATTTTTATGTCATCTATTAAATGCACTGATTGACTTCTCCCTACTGACATAGCTAACAATGTATTGAAACCCTACGACGCTAGAAATCCATGGCATGGGTGGCAATGGATATGATATCTTTTATGTGCTTCTAATTGGATTTACCTAGGGGGATCTTGATCTGTTGAAATTTATCTGACTAACAAAGCGGTGATGTTTTTTTTTTGGCTTTACTGATATTATTCTGGCATGGGTATACATTATGAGGGGTATATTAAAGTAACGAGAGGTGAAGTTTAATGTCTGTTGGTAAGTTTTAATGCAAGGAAGATTAATTGATATTATTTACTCTTTTATTATATTATCAATCATTGTTACACTTGGCACGTATAATAATGCATAGTTACATGTTTGCAACTGATCAATTATAATTTCACATTAGTGAATCATAGACAGTTCATAAAGAATATCGATTTGGTACGTTTAACAGCATCTTCGTCGTTACGTTTCTACATATAATTATACACAGAGAATATCGCACATCGTGATACAGAATTCGTAATTATGTGAAAGAATACAGTGCTATTTATTGGAATTCTCAATCCTTTGAATTTTAATCCTCTGCTATTTGTTCCACCGCTTATAATAAATTATTCATTCGTGCCATCCTACTTTTATATAACTTTTTCCTGTTTAAATATGACCTTTGCTTTCCTTACCTCAGTTTGCTCCATTTTTTTAGATAAATAAAAGTTAATAATAAAAATAAATGAATATTATGCATTCTCTTTAATCACCACTACCCCTTGCGACGAGAGATGCTAAATATTGTATGTAAGGAAGGGATATTACAAAAGAGCACAAAAATGTAAGAAATATTTCTTTATTAATTCAAAGCACATGAAATTACGAATTAAGATAATTACGCAGGGAACTTGAAGAATGAATAAGAAAAGTTGTGTGTTAATGCGCATGTACGGCTCATTACATAAAGTAATTATAAGTTATAAATTCCATAGTAAGAGGAACAGGTCATCCTGTAAAAGTGCATTAACCTTTAAGGGATGACATACCCGCCCTCATTATTTCATCCACCAGAAGTAAATTACTAGCGATGACGGTACTGAAAGAAAAATAATTTAATTTTAGGAAAAATGATTGAATTTTTGGATTTTATCCAAAGTAATTGACACTTACCAAGAATTAATTATCTGTTTCTTCACCACGTAATTATCAAAGATACCGGCATCTGCAGGTTTCAGTGCTTCTCCGGATGACAAGTCCAATCCTACAGCTTCACCAAGAGCTGTGCTTTCCTCGAACAATTTGACAATAGTATCTTGAGAATCGAACCCGCTGTTTATCGCTATAAAAGAATCGGGAAATTAGAAACAGTTTTGATTATATGCCAAGTTCGCTTTACTTACCAAGTGTCTTCGGAATGATAAGTAGAGCTTCGGCATAAGCCTGCACACCGAGACGCAGTTTTCCTTTGACTTCTTCCTTAAAACGCTGCAATGCTTGACTGGCTGCCACCTCAAATGCACCTGCACCAGGAACCACGGCGCGATCATCAATGGCATTCTTGATAGCGCGCAAGCCATCTCGTACAGCATCCTTCAGCTGGACCAACGTGTACTTATTGGGTCCCTGTAAAGTAATAAAAAAACCAATTAGAATTGTATGATTTATATTTCCCTGAGCAGTAAATATTTGATCGCATTGATGTACAAAATGTTTACCTTTAGAAGAATGGTTACAGAGTTTGGTTTCTTACAATCTTCTACAAAAGTGTATTTGGTCTCTCCCTGTAAGAAAATTGAAATAGTGTCATTACTTCTTAATTTTTAATGACAGCCAATGCAGATTCTTATACAAATTCCTTGAAAGGGATGAATTTTTAATTTGGATTCAATATTCGATCATAGATCTGGAAAATTACTTACCAATACATGTTCGTATACGAGTCCAGCCCATCCAAGATGTTCCTCTTGTAAATCGTCTACTGAATTCATGGCAACACCACCACAAGCAAGTGCTAAACGTTCCATATTTCGTCGTTTGGCACGACGCAAACCCATTATATTTTCCTTAGCAAGCATATCTAGGGATGGTGGGTCAATGCCCTTCTGATTTATGACGACAAATGACTTGTCCGTTCCGTCGCATAGTTTCTTTTTCAATTCGATGATTTTCTTCACACGATTGTCAATGAATTCACGTTCAGCAGCAACAAGCTTCTCGCGCTCTTCTGCAGTCTTGTAAAAGAATCCACTATTTACCTGAAATAGTATAGATTTTATATTTTTATCATAAGACCTTTTGTTTGTTTTAGAAAATAATCATTTAAAATAAGAAATGTGATGACATGTAAAAACTATCGCTATTACGTACTTCACTTTTTTCATACTCTAAGCTGACATTGCAGGTTAGAATATAAGCATTTTCAAGCCTCTTCGGCATATCTGGATGTCTGGAACCATGATCCATAACAATTCCACGAATCAAACTAGTATCTGCTGCTGTTCTGTGTTGCATTTCCATAAGCTCAACCATGTGTAAATCGATCTGCTGATCACCCTGCTTAATAGTCAAAATTGCCTCTACACAGACATCTGTGAGTTTATCAGCCAGACTAGGATGCACTTTAGTTCGAAGAGATGTTTTTGCAACATCCAAAAGACCCTCCTTAGTTGGCTCAATGGGAATCTTCAAAGAATCTAAAACTTCAATTGTCTTGGCTCTTGCGAGATCAAAGCCCTCAGTAAGTACTCTTGGATGAAGTCCCTCTGAGATATAAAGGTCAGCTTGTTTCAAAAGCTCTCCAATGACAAGAACGGTACTAGTTGTACCATCCCCAGTCATATCATCTTGGGCAGTAGATGCCCGTGCAATAAGAGATGCAGTTGGATGTTGAATTTGCATCTCATGCAAGAGTACATTGCCATCTTTAGTGATTTTAATATCACCAGCTCCAGAAACCAGCCTAATGAAATAAAAGAACACAACATTCAATTTCTATTTTATTTGATACATTTTTCCATATTTATATACGCTTGTGTAACAGTGAGTAATCATGTTTTAAATAATGGATACACATGACTGCCCAACATCGTAGGTGTATGGGCGGCACATGACATGTCCTTATAAGGACACATTTTTCATTACATTTTGACAATCTTTTTTACCACATAGAATTTAAAAAAACTCCAATATCTAACATGATTAACGTATAAATAATTGGTGCTATCCAAACATTTAAGTTCAATGATTAAATGTCGTGACGACCGGCAAATCGTATGAACCCATGTGTACACTTACATTTTCATAGTTCCTTTTGGGCCCAAATTTGTCTTCATCACATCTTGAATACCTTTGGCTGCTGAGATATTGACAGCCAGAGCTTGTGCAGCTCTGGCGAATTCAGCTTTCGGATTTAATAGACTAATCGCTGCCATTTTTCACGTAATTCTCACAAAATTCAGAAAAATCAACCAACGTGAGCCACACCGTTTCGAGAAACAACGCCAGAGCCTTCTAGATCCGCAATACAGAACACTTTACGAGGGGTTTACATGAACAGAACAAGCAACTACAGATGATGAAACTCGATACGGTATTGGCTGTTGACGAAATGATAAATTTAAAGGACCAATCGGAAGTTCTCGTAGCTAACAATTACTGCTCATGAAAATCATACTTTAAATGAATATGAATTATATTTTCTCAATAAAAAAAAATAGAAAAAAGAAAAAATACCAAAATATATTGTAGTTTCAGTTTAACGCAAATCTCATTCCAGTCTCATTTATTTCTGTACAAAAATTGCAATAAAATAATTATAGGCAACAAAGTTACTCGATATTTAAATACAATGACCATTTCCATTGATAATTTTTCTGTGTATCATAGCAACTCAGTAACAAGTACACCTTGCAAATCTTCTACAGAAGAATGCATAATAAAGTTCAATAACATTTATCTCAGATGTATGATTAATGATTATAGTCATTATTGGTCAATTCCCTCTTCCTTTTTGTGCTGCATACAATATCTTCGCTGCAATTCTTCCTCCATTGCTTCAATTTGTTCTCTACTTTGTTCTTGTGTCATTTGTTCCATCAGTTCATGATTATAGGTTGAGTGAAGCATTAATGCAAGTACACCTGCTCGCGTAGCCATATTAGATCTGATTTGTCGTTCCTGTTCAACAAGCTCATCAATTTTCAACCACTGCCTAACCCTCTCCATATCAATTTCAGCTCGTCGTAGCTTCTCCCATACATAGTGCTTAACGCAACTTTTTTTTGGAACTCGACAAAACTCGCCAGTCATATCGAAGACGTTTGTCACCAGTGGACAGCCGCATACTTCAGTATCACTAATTTTCGGATCCTTACAGTGTTCAGGACACAAGACACGTAAACGTTTGCAATAAGTCTTATTAACTGGATTATAGAAGTCACAAAACATTACTTGACCTTCTATACGTGTTTTAAAAATGGAGCCGAATGACGCTTGAGATTCATACTGAAAGAAAAACAATTTTATTATAAAGGATTAATGAAATATTTTAGCAAGAAATACTATAACAAATGGTTTTTACCTTGTTAAAACATTTCTCCATGTGTTTAATAGCTGTTCTAGAATGTATTTCGTGGCCACATGTTATGCAATACATACTCATTTCAGTATCGTCGTTGTCATCGATTTCTGCTTTAGGATCTATTACAGCATGTCTTGCGCGCTCTACTATTTTATCTAATTCTATATGTCGCTTATCCAGTTCTTGGAGAATTCTTCTAACATCGTGTTGTTGCTTTCTTACTGATTCCAAAGCTCTTCTGTTGTTCTGCTCTGCTACACAAGGTGTTAAGGACCATTCTTGAATTCGCTGTGGTAACACTTGATAGATTCTGTTGGTAGCTAGTTTCATTCCACACTCATCTGAACAGTATTTACTTCCAAGACGAGATTGTTTCGTGCAGGCTGGACCATAACAATGTCTTGGTGGTTCAAGATGTTCGTTTCTTTCATTGCTCGAATCTCTTTTGCGTTTTCTACCAGGTTTTGAAACTTTGTTTGTATTTTTTGGAGTTTTCAATGGACCACCTATTGTACGACACGTTCTCAGGGCACATTTAAGTTTCAGTCTTACAGAGGGACCAAATTTTTTAAGATGCCTGAAAACAATGTAAAATAATCTTGGATGGTTAGGAGCGATTAACTAAAAAATATTTACTCTACCTGCAGGCATCGCATTTGCCACAATTATCCGAACGAAGACAACCAGAACATTCTCCACATTTTTTTGAAGATTTTTTTACAGCAGTTGGATCCCAAGGTGCGTCGTACTCGTACCTATGAGCACGCTCTTTTTCTTTGTATTTTTTATATTTTCTTTCATCTGGATCCAATTTTCGTGGTTTATAACGTGTGACTAGTGTTGGATCTTCTTCACGACATCGCTTTTTTGTATGAAAATAATGATTAATAAATTCATTTTAATATAGCTGTTTTGAAAGGTAATAATTTATATTAACCTAATGTTAATAATATGAATACAAGTTCAGTTAATACATACAACACAAAAGAACTGCTTTATATGCTTTGCATCCTTCTCAGTAATATTTATACAATCCCCATGATACCATTCTTCACATGCATCGCATCCTCTATAAAGATTTGCAGAATAAAAATCAATATTGAATTAAGTAACAATTACTATAAAGTATATGTACATTTCAGTGCAACTTACATCATAAACCGAGAGCTGTCTGAACTACGACATATACAATATGCCTGTCCATCTTGTTTAAGAAGTGTAGCAATTTTGCTTTTTCTCTCTGGTAGCATAAACTGCTTTGCAATCTCTTCTTTCTACAATAATATGTTTTACAAGTTCATTTAATTTAAAAATAACATTCTTCAAAATGTTTCAAGATTGCAACGAGAAACCTTTGCCATGTTATAAATGTAAATAAAACAAAATTTATTGTAACCTTTTAAAGTGATTGCAGTATACATGTATAACAATCTACTTATTAACTTTTAACGGCCACTTGGGGTCACAGTGACCCCAATGTAGCATGATTCTTATGGAAACTCTACTCAAGTTAAGGGGTAAATATTTAGAAGGTACTTCATATATAGATAAAATAAATAATAACAAATTGGTACCATTGCAAAGTGTACAGAAATCATGTATCCTTATACACTTACCGAGAGACCGTGACGCCGCTTATCACTCATGATTAAGCTAAATGATAATCTTAACGGCAGAACAAAATAGATCAGGTGAAAAAGGTTTATCGAAAAAACTAACAATTACTTCACGTTTCATTAATCAGAAAAGAGTAGGGAGATTGCCATTGAATTGATTTTCATCAGAGATGAGTGGGAAGATGTACAACGCTCCGGTTTTAGGCGATACCAAAAGCATGGCGCTAAATCGTAGCGGCGAGTCCGGGAGTAGGATTTCGTGATCATCGCCTCTGTCGATGTTACAGATTTCGCGTAGCCGCGCGGGTCATGATCATCGTTCCAGCCGATATAGCAGTCAGCGAAAATGAATGGATTGCTCGGTGGTGGAGAAAAAGCTGCCGCCCCTCACAAACCGTTCTTGACAAACAGGCGGAACAGCAAGGTCTTCCGTCCAACCGAACCCTAAACATTTGTATGGACGTAATACGCAAACAAATGTGTATATTCAAATAAATTTCAAAGTTATAAAAAATGCATAGAAATATTGGTTTTCACTCTTTA